CCCCCCCCCCCCCCCTTTTTAAAGATATCGTTGGGACAAGCACCTAGTGTTAGTATTAGAGGGGAGTCTGCCTTTTAGAATAAATGTCAACCGAAATGAGTGGAGAATGGCAGGGACATACCCTAAAGATGTCCGTTTTAAGGGCGTGTTTATCTTTTCCTGTGTTAAAGAAAATGACTGAAGAAAGGCACGGACCTACTCTAGGTACCCATTTAAGGGAGGCGTTTATCTTATAGAGAGTCAAAGAAAAACACTGAAGAACGGAGGCGACCAACTCTAGGTGTCCATTTTAGGAAGGTTTCCGGCTTGTTAGACTGTTCCAAGAGAGGATAAAGGGGCTACTCTCTTGGTTGTTCACAGTCTGCTATTTTTCGGTCAGATCTTCGAGGTCGAGCGCTTACAGTTACGCTTCCTAAAGATGTCAGGAGTCTTTTAAATATAGATACCAGTTTCTTTAAAACGTCGGCTTACCTAGTCTGCTACACAGCCGTTTTTAGTGTCGTCACTCAACGCTCCTCCTTAGTGGGGAGGAGCGTTGCGTGACGACACTAAAAACGGCTGTGTAGCAGACTACGGCTTACCTAGCTGATGTCGCCAAAGATGTGGCTGTAGTCTTGACATCTGTGGACAAAACAGTGCTAATGGGAGTGTTTGTAGTCTTGGTTTCGTTGCTAGTGGTCTGGTTATTTTTCAGTACTCTGTAACACTGTGTCTCATGAACAGCTGAAGATGAATTCCAACAGCATCCCAGACCCAGGCACTGGTCTTTTGTTGAGTTGTAAGAGCCACAGGAAACCAGGGTCACATTTGTTTTAGAACAGCTGTTGTTAAAGGCTATCAAGAAGAAAAAAATTGACTGTATGTCCTCAAACAAGAGCCAGCGTTTTTCGAAATCCAAGTAAGCTGTTTTACTTTCAGCTATGTTTGAATTCCAGATTGAGCCTCAAGCCGGGCTTCCATAATTATTAAGTTATAGATGGACCAGTTTGTTAGCTATGAGCCACCCCTTTATTATTTAGTTTCGTTCCCCTTCTTTACCCAGGGTGCAAGAGACTTTTCTAGCGCGGTTTCCGGTTTCTGTCAAGTCTTTATAGTGACCCGCGCGGATTCGCCGCTCATGGCTTCGGCCTATGGCCGAAGATGTGTCGGCCTTCGGCCAACACCGAAAATTCCCGCCGCACGCGAGAATAACCTCTGATACCCAGAGTAGCCCCTGATCAGTTAAACGAGGAATTTAACTTTGCGAAACAGGTTCGTTTCTTTGCTAGGGCCGGAAAGCCCGCGCCCGGCACAGAATACAAAGTTATCTCTTTACATCTAAGTGACATCGATCTACAGTGAAATCTCTATTCAGGGGACACCCTCAGGATAAAGGCAAGTGTCCCCTGAATAGAGGTTGGGAAGGGGCTCTTTAATAATAGGCCTGATTTGCACGATGGCGTCATTTTACTACTACGACCATAATTCTTTTCGTTTTTCTTTTCATTTTTAAATTTGGTAGCCCCAGTGAGGTTTAAATAACAAAAAGCACTCATTTGCGCAAGAAAGTAAAACCCTGGAATGATCCTGGTCATAGCAGTAAAATGACGCCATCATGCAAATGGCCTATGAACCAAGGAATAAAATTTTATTAGAACCCAAAAACTAAAGGCTTCTGCTCTTGCAGGCTGCAAAATCTGCTGATGAGGTATGAAAAATCATCATTAACTTATCTCTGCGATGTTATATGTTGAATTCCCACAAGTAGAGTACATTGATAAGGTGGTGAGTTAATTCATGTTGTGAAAGCTGTCGCCATTGTGACTAGGACAATGAATACTTAAACGATCTTAAACTTATCGACAAATTATATTTTTGTGGTCAGTCACTTTTTGATTGCTATTGTTAGGTGTCCTCTGAAAGGGGATTAAACCCAGGTTTCGGGACCCAGAAAAAGTATCCCTTTCCCGTGAGTAGAGGTGTCGCTTCAATAATGTGAACATTTTTCCGCGACCAAATTTTTATTTCCCCGGAATGAAAGTGTCTCTTGAATAGAAAGGCCCCAAAAGAGACTGAGGCCAGTTCCACTGTATATGGGTAAAAAAGATAAAAAAAAAAAAGATTCGGGCCTGAGAAAGTCTGCGAAGTACACCTCCAACGGAGACGACCTAGTGGCAGCCCCTCACAACCAGCCCCACCCCCATCCCAACCCTCACCCCCTCCCTTCTTGGGTGACCTGTCTCAGAAGTTCAAGTAGGATCTTGTCA